GGCAAGATCATCATCAAAGACACAAAAATATACTCTGTAATATGAACTCCATATATGTACTCCATAGTGACTCGAAGAACACTATGATATCTTGCAATTTAAATGAATATGAATTGTGGTTTATCTGACTGCCTGGCGGGAAGAAAATCTCTAGAGCCCTGAGCTTCTATCCACCACGACTACCAAACTATTTACCCGACTACTCTGCTGTTTTCCTTCAGTCACTGAGGACGCCCTCTCATGTCCGCCTCTCAATACCAGACGTCCAATCACCACCTACTAATTTCAGAATATTCCCATTTAAAAATATTCTACTTGTATCATATATAAAGGAGTTCAGTTTTGATAAGCAAAATGTTTATAAATATTCCAGTGGCTATCCATAATCTTAGAATATATGAAGGTCCTACTCAGTTGGGCGGAGGAAGGACTTAATTATTCTTGGGCGGTATTTTGGTGGATGTTCAAAAGATGCTGTGCTGAGTGATAAGGTTTACATTGGGCTGTATGGTAAATCCTTGGCCAGGTATTTGTAGCTGCATAAATACTCTATTAGGAAACGTCAAACTTCTCATGCTTTGTGTGTGTTCACTTGCGTCATTTCAACCATCCTGTCGACTGGAATATTTTTAAACCTTTGGCCTATTGCAAGGCTTTTCTTGAGAAATAAAATGGATAATTGTTAATAAATGTGGAACATGTTGGTATAAGCATTCAGGTGTTGACACAAGTGGCCAGCTCTTGACCCAAGCTGACAACACAAGTAACAGTGTCAGTGACGTCAAAGCTTTCAGTGCAGAGAAGTCACATATCACAAGTTATTTCACCACATTTACAATCAAACAAATCATTCGATAAATGACTTACTAAAATAACTAATTAATTTAAATTTTGTTAGCTTTCCATTAATGCATCAATGAGTAGCTAAACGAACCGATACATAATATAAGTTATTATTTAGAAATGTTCGACGATTTTCATCAATACGCCTCCATCAAACTGCGGGAAAATTGCTAACTATAAAGGCCACGATAAGCAAAAGTGGCCCACACTGAAGCTTTTTCATCATTGGGCAACACACAACACTAGACACGACATAGTCATGTTATGTCTACCAATTGAATAATCTATTACTTCATTGCAATATTTATTGAGAGGAAACAATGAAAGCAATTAGACATTCATTATTGTCTCCGGGTGAAGCATCTATGACGGCACCGCAGTTAAAGGACTGTAAACATTCTAACCTGATCGTTACTCACAGTACATCCTTTGTATTTTTTTTTTTTTAGATATATACAAGAGTTGTTACATTCTTGTACAGCCACTAGTACGCGTAGCGTTTCTGGCAGTTCTTTGTAACTCATCTGAGTTTCCAGTTTCCACCCATGTCCCCTCGTTCTGTTATTATTACGTGTGAACATACCATTTATTTCCACTTTGTCAATTCCCCTGAGTATTTTATATGTCCCTATCATATCACCTCTCTCCCTTCTTTTCTCTAGTGTCGTAACGTTCAGTTCCTTCAGACGCTCTTCATATCCCATCCCTCGTAACTCTGGGACAAGTTTGTCGCAAACCTCTGAACCTTCTCCAGTTTCCTTATGGGTTTCTTCAGGTGGGGCTCCATGATGGCGCGGCATACTCTAAGACTGGTCTCACGTAGGCAGTGTAAAGTGCCCTAAAAGCCTTCTCACATATGTTTCTAAATGAAGTTCTAATTTTCGCCAGTGTAGAGTACGCTGCTGTCGTTATCCTATTTATATGTGCCTCAGGAGTTAGATTAGGTGTCACATCCACTCCCAGGTCTCTTTCTCGAATCGTTATAGGTAGGCAGTTCCCTTTCATTGTGTAATGTCCCTTTGGTCGCCTATCACCTGATTCCATTTCCATAACTTTACATTTACTGGTGTTGAACTCCAGTAGCCCTTTCCCTGACCATCTCTGCAACTTGTTTAAGTCCTCTTGGAGGATCCTACAATCCTCATCTGTCACAACTCTTCTCATTAATTTTGCGTCATCCGCAAACATTGACAAGTATGATTCCACTCCTGTAAACGTATCATTTACGTAAATTAGAAAGAGGATTGGTTCCAGCACCGATCCTTGAGGTACTCCACTCGTTACTGAAGTCCAGTCCGACTTCTCGCCCCCCGTACTATTACCTTCTGGCTCCTTCCTGTTATGTAGTTCCTCGCCCATGCTAGGGCCTTTCCGCTTACTCCTGCCTGCCTCTCAGGTTTGCATAGCAGTCTCATGTGCGGTACTGTATCAAAAGCCTTTTGGCAGTAGAGAAATATGCAGTCTGCCCAGCCGTCTCTGTCCTGCCTTATCCTTGTTACTTTGTCATAGAATTCTAAAAGGTTTGTTAGGCACGATTTCCCTTGTCCAGAATCCATGTTGGTGCTTGTTTACAAACCCAGTGCTCTCCAGGTGCTCAACAAGTCTTAGCCTAATTATTATTTCAAGTATTTTGCAGGGGATGCTTGTCAGTGATACGGGTCTGTAGTTAAGTGCCTCCTCCCTATCACCTTTCTTGAAAATCGGTACGACATTTGCCTCCTTCCAGCAACTGGGCAATTCTCCCGATATAAGTGACTCATTAAAGATCATTGCCAGAGGCACGCTGAGAGCCTGCGCTGCCTCTTTTAGTATCCACGGTGATTCTTTGACTGGTCCAACCGCTTTAGTTACATCCAGTGTTGTCAACTGTGTCATTACCTCCTCTGCTGTCACCTCTAAACCTGATAGTCTTTCATCTAGGGTAATCTCTTCTAACAATGGGAGCCACTCAGGCTCGGTTGTGAATACTCCATGGAAACTTGCATTCAGTACCTCGCAGACTTCCTTGTCGCTTTTTGCATATGCCACTTCTGTTTTCCTCAGTCTTGTCACTTGTTCATTTACCGACATCATCCTTCTTATATGGCTATATAGCAATTTACGTTGCGTTTTCGCTTTGATTGCAATATCATTCTCATAATTTCTTTCCGACACTCGTCTTATGTTAATATAATCGTTCCTAGCTCTATTACATCTAATCCTGTTGTCCTCTGTCCTTTGTCTTCCGTACTTCCTCCACTCCCTCCTGCTTCTCACCTTTGCTTCCTGACACTGTCTATTAAACCATGGGTTATTATATTCCCTCCTGCTTTTTTCCTTTACTGCTGGAATAAATCTCTCTTCAGCCTCCTTGCATTTCCATATGACTTGGTTCATCATCATGACTTGGGAGCCAGTCGGCCGAGCGGACAGCACACTGGACTTGTGATCCTGTGGTCCCGGGTTCGATCCCGGGCGCCGGAGAGAAACAATGGGCAGAGTTTCTTTCACCCTATGCCCCTGTTACCTAGCAGTAAAATAGGTACCTGGGTGTTAGTCAGCTGTCACGGCCTGTTTCCTGGGGGTGGGGACCTGGTCGAGGACCGGACCGCGGGGACACTAAAGCCCCGAAATCATCTCAAGATAACCTCAAGAAGAAGATCATACCTTGCACTGTTTTTCCTCTAATTTCTTCCTCCCACTGCACTTCTCCCAGGTAGTACTTTATCCTCCTGTAGTCCCCTTTTTCTGTAATTAAGTCTCCTTTCCCGGACCTCTTGTCCTTTGGTCACAATTTTAAGCTCCATCATGTAGTCAAAGACTAGGACACAATGGTCACTGGCTCCTAGTGGTATTTCATGCTCCAAATGCTCGATGTTTTCTACATTCTGGGTGAAAGTGAGGTCTAATAGGCTGAGCGTATCCCCTCCTCTTTCCCTAGTGTCTTCCTTCACATGCTGTGTTAGGAAATTCCTGTTAATAACGTCTACCAGCTTCGCTCCCCAGGTCTCTTTCCCGCCATGGGGATTCCTCGTTTCCCAATCTATCTCTCCGTGATTTAGGTCCCCCATTACCAGCAGCTTCGCTCTCATTCTATGCGCTATTGTTGCTGCCCTCTGCAGTTCATCTAAACATGCCTTGTTGCTGTCCTCATACTCTTGCCTGGACCTTCTACTGTTTGGTGGGGGATTGTAGAGTATCAAGACTACAATCTTCTTCCCATCCACTGTCAGAGTTCCATGTATGGAGTTCGTGCTTTCATTGGTACCCGGATTTTCCAGCTCATGAAACTTCCATTTCTGCTTTATTAGGAGTGCCACTCCTCCTCACTGTCTCTGTGTCCTTTCTTTTCTTATCACTTGGTACCCCTCGGGAAAGATTGCTTCCGAGATCATGCTATTTATTTTAGTTTCCACTATTGCCACTATGTCTGGGTCTGCCTCACTAACTCTTTCCTTTATCTCTTCTGCTTTATTGGATACCCCATCAGCATTGGTGTACCAAACTTTGAGACTCTTCTTGGAAACTCTGGTGCCAGAGTTCCTCCTTTCACCCTCCTTGTGTGTGTATGTGTGTGTGTGTGTGTGTGCTCACGTATTGTTTCTCACCTATTAGGGCCAGATTGATCGAGCGTTGCCTCTTGGATATCGTCTTTCTAGCATTCGGTTCTTTAAAGCAATGATTCCTGTCCTTCTCTATCATACCTAGTTTTAAAGCTATTAATAGTGTTTGCTTCCACAATGTGCTCCTTTAGTTAAGTCCATTTCCCCACTACTCTCACGGTAAAACCAAAGTTTCTATTATCTCTATGTCTCATTTGAGTTTGCAGGTTCCACCCATGTCCCCTTGTTCTGGGTAATAGCTGAAAGCACACACACATACCCAGGAAGCAGCCCATAACAGCTGTCTAACTCCCACGTACCTATTTACTGTTAGGCAACAGGGGTATGTTTTGTGTTCTGCCGGCGCCGGGGATAGAACCCCCGGTCCCTAGGTCCACGAGTCTAGAGCGCTGTCCACTCAGCCTTCAGCCCCCTTTGTGTGTGTGTGTGTGTGTGTGTGTGTGTGTGTGTGTGTGTGTGTGTGTGTGTGTGTGTGTGTGTGTGTGTGTGTGTGTGTGTGTGTGTGTGTGTGTGTGTGTGTGTGTGTGTGTGCTACATTCACTTCGATATACCTACCTCAGCAGGAAAGGTTGCACCGTTAATCTGGTGCTCTGAACCCATGTCGTTATTGACGCCAAAGTGGATGTAGAGTTCTTCGAAGCGGTACTTGTAGACGAGAGGTCCGCCTGTGATGTTGACGTGGTGCTTGGTGCCCTTCTCCACCTTGAAGAGGACGCTCTGACCGGCGTTGTGGATCGTCCCAGAGATCTGAAAGGTCAGATCGAGAAGAACCGAGGATTAATTGACACGAAGAAATATTTGATGCATCGACTTACTGAATCTTAATGCATAATGGTAATGAAACAAGAACCAATTATATGCAGGGAGAGAATATTCCAATTAAAGCTGAGGTCTGACGACCTCAGACGTAGTACCTTGACTGAGAAAGTTAGTGATTAACCAAGCAACATTGGAAGAAGTGGATGTTACTAGAAATGAAATTAGAAGACCACTGCTGAAACTGGACACGACGAAGGCTGATGGGCTTGGCAGAATCTCACCAGAGATACAAAAAGAGAGAGAGAGAGATTGAAGAGGCACTATGCATGTCACGCTTTATGGTGTATAGTAAGTCACTGGAAACACAAGACCTGCCAGAACGCTGGAAGACAGCTAATTAAGTCCAAATATAAAACAGGGTGATAGGAAGAGGGTACTGAACTTCAGGCAGGTGTCTCCAAACTTGTATGCCATACAACGATAATTAGAAGATTATGAGAGGAGAGCAAGTAACATATCTGGAGAGAAGGTACCTGGTAACACACCACCAATACGGGTTCAAGGAATGTAACTGTTGCCTCACTGGAACAATATAATTTTATGACCAGACAACAAAAAATAGATAAGAAAGAGAAGATGGGCGAAGCTTTATATTTTTTAAATGTCGGAAAGTCTTTGACACAGTACCCCATAAAAGGCTGATGCATAAGCTGGAGAAGCAGGCAGGCATGACAGGTAAGGTGCTCTAGTGAATAAGAGAGTACCTTAGCAAGAGAAAACAGCGAGTTTCTGCGAGGGAAGAGTTCTCGAATAGAGATATGTCACCATCGGAGTGTATTCGGACCTATCCTATTTCTGACAGACTGAAACGATCTTCCGTATGATATAGACTTATTCCTCCAAATGTTTACTAATAAGGCAAACATGATGAGAATGACTGTCAAAGGAAGATAACATGAAACTGCAATTGAGCTGAACAAAGTGAAAGAATTTTCCAATAAATGACTACTAGATTTTAACTCAAATAATTGTCAAGTAATGAAAATAGGTGCAGGGAGCAGCTAGAAGACCAGACACACAGTACCAAGCTGACCAGCATTGACAGATGAACTCTTTCAAAATTCAGGTTGAGAAAACTTATATCCCGAAGCCACCACAAAAGGATATAATCAGCAACATATGCGAGATCTTTTTAATTGTACAGGTGGTTACATAAACAGACGCTGGGCAACAGAACTGCCATTAGAAACGCGTGTACGGAATACTTCGCAACCTTGTATATTCTAAATGTCAGACCAATCCTGGAATATTCGGCTCTAGTGTGGAGTCCATATCTCTTCAAACATGAGACGAAGCTAGAGAAAGTTCAGATGTATGCCTCCAGACTAGTCCCAGAGCTGAGAGGTACGAACTGCCAGGAAATGCTACAGAAATTAAACCTCACGTCAATGGATGACAGAAGAGATGAGGAGACATGATTGCCACCTACAAGATTCTCAGAGGAATTGACAGGGTGGATAAAGATAGAATATTTCGCATGGGCGGATCTCGAACGAGGAGACATCAGAGAAAACTTAGTTCTCAATTCAGCCATACAGATATTAGAAATAAATTTTTGCTGTCAGAATAGTGAACAAATAGAATGCATTAGAAAGTGATGAAGTCGAGGCAGACTCCATACACACAGTTTCACATCCTGATGGGATAGGAGCCCAATAGGCTCTGAAACCTGCACACCAGTTAACTGACAATTCAGAGGCGAGACGAAAGAGCCGAATCTCAAACCCCCACAAGCACAACTAGGCGAGTATAAAACCCACATCCTTACCAGTTGGCAACGCAATCTCGTTCTCTAAGGTCTGTTCCAACCCTGCATTGTTCAATTACCCATACAGGATAAAAAAAAGAGTTGCGTATTGGTTTCTCTCTTCATCTGCATGGAAAATATTTGTAGTAAAACACTAGCAAATGTTTGGGTTGGTGGTTGTGCCCGGTGTTCCCGCGCTCCAGCGGTCACGGTGTTCCCGCGCTCCAGCGGTCACGGGCCGTTGGAATGGAAATCTGAATGGTAAATCATGTTTTCTTCCACACAACTGGGAAACGATGCTTGGTAATTTCTGTAAAGCTGATTCAAGTGATTGTGTTGTTGTTGTTGTTGTTGTTGTTGTTGTTGTGTGTGTGTGTGTGTGTGTGTGTGTGTGTGTGTGTGTGTGTGTGTGTGTGTGTGTGTGTGTGTATTGACCTATTTGTGCTTGCGGGGGTTGAGCTATGCTCTTTCGCCCCGCCTCTCAACTGTCAATCAATCAACTGTTACTAACTACTAAATATTTTTTTCATGCACACACACACCCAGGATGCAGCCCGTAACAGCTGTCAAGTTCCCAGGTAACTATTTATTGCTAGGTTACAGGGGCTTCAAGGTGAAAGAAACTCTGCCCATAGGTTTCTGTCATCTCCGGGGATCGAGTCCGGTCCCTAGGATTACGAGTCCAGAGCGCTGACCTCTCAGCTATCAGGTACCTCTGTGTGTGGTGATGGTGAGTGTATGTGTGTGTGTATGTATAAGTATGTGTGAATGTTTTTTTTACTATTTGTGCCTGCAGATTCGAGCTCTAAGCTCTTGAACCCCGCCTTTTTGACCGATCTATTTTTTACCTCTCTTATGTCTTCTACATTTATTTCTCTCTAACTCGCACCCACACACACATCCCAAAAGCATCCTCTAACAGCTGTCTATCTCCCAGGTACCTATTTACTACTAGGTGAACAGGCCCCTCAGGTGAAAGAAACTGTCACTTTGTTACTGCGTCCCTTCCCCTTCTTTTCACCTGAAATTCAGTTGGGTTGACAACGCGTAGTCATCTTTCAGACAATTCCTGCACTTTTGCCCAAGTCACTCTGCTCCATTCTGTAGCAACGATAAGTGCCAGAGTGAGGAGGAAGAGTATGGCGTGCATATGAGGGGGTGGCGCCAGAGGCAACCAGTTGGTAGATTATGAGGAAACTAATGGCGTTCATGTAGGGTAGATCCGAACAAAGAGCGAGCTAGAAGTTGGAAACGAGCAGGTAAGTGGTGAGAAGGGGGTGACGGGGTCTGCAAGCGGGAGAATAACTAGGAGCAGAACTAAAGTAGTGTTTGAGGTGGGTGAAACAGTGCAGGGGAAGAGTGGAAAGAGCGTTGGGGCTCCTGTATGACAGCAGAAGGAGATTACAGTACAGTGATTGGCAGTGTAGTAGGCGAAGGGATATATGCGACACGTGGCAGATTAACGACGACCAAAGGGTGCGGAGATTGTCACTGGAGGGAGCGAGGTATTACCAGTATTACGGAACGAGAAAGTGAGAGCAGGAGGCCGAGGATCTGTACACAGAGGGTGGATGGAGAGGAGGTACAGATTGGAGGGTTGTGGTGTGAGAGGATGGCAGAGAAGCGGTGGTTTAGGGGACAGGGGAGAAAGAGGGGCTCAGTTGTGTGGAAATCGAGGTGGTGGGCGAGGAATTTGGTGCATGGATTATTTTGGGGTAATGGTTTGGAATGTAGCAGATAAAAGGAACGAGGGAGGGGGTTGTTGGAGGATTTAGGAGAGCTAGAGGGTAATGTGGATTGTTACTGGGGGTGGATATGGATGTGATGGTGAGGGAGAAGAGGGAGGAGGTAGAGTCGTCGACGGTTCGTGACTGAAGAGGGATGGAGGGGCTCAGAGGGAAGGGTGTTAGGAGGGAAAAAGATAGTAGCATGATTAGCACAGAGCGATCAGCGAGGAGTATGATGATGAGACTGCAAGAGGGAAGTAGAGAGAGGGTGGTGAAGGAGGAGCTGGAGATGGGAGAGGAGTAGGGAAGGATGAGACTCCCAGGAAATGAGACTGAATGCTTAGATGATAGTGGTAGGGATTTGTGTGTGTATTCACCAGGTTATATTCACCTAGTTGTGCTTGCGGGGGTTGAACTCTGCTCTTTCGGCCTGCCTCTTAACTGTCACTCAATCAACTGTTACTAACTACCCCCCCCCCCTCACACACACACACCCCCCAGGAAGCAGTCAGAAATAGCTGTTTATCTCCCAGGTACCTACTTACTAATACGTAACTGGGGCATCAGGGTTAAAGAAACTCTGGCCATTTTGTTTCTGCCATCAACGGGGATCGAACCCGGACCCTAGGATTACGAGTCCAGAGTGCTGTCCACTCAGCTATGAGGCCGTTACTCAGCTATTAGGTCCACTGATGTGTGTATGTGTGTGTGTGTGTGTGTGTGTGTGTGTGTGTGTGTGTGTGTGTGTGTGTGTGTGTGTGTGTGTGTGTGTGTGTGTGTGTGTGTGTGTGTGTGTGTGTGTGTGTGTGTGTGTGTGTGTGTGTGTGTGTGTGTGTGTGTGTGTGTGTGTGTGTGTGTGTGTGTGTGCGTGTGTGTGTGTGTGCGTGTTTCTTCACGTTCCTGTACTCAATTGTATGTGCTCGTGTATTTGTTCACTTGTTTACGCTTTGCAGGGTTGAACTGTTAGCTCTTGTCAGATCCTTATTCTGGGCCGTTATACTATGTGCTATACAGTCGTAATGGTTTGGTGCTTTCTCTTGATAATTCCCTCCTTTCCCTACCTGATAGCTATTTAGTTTTGGTGAATAGTGGCATTAACCGAAAGGAAACATGCCCGATGATCTCCGTCCTACAGTAAGAATCGAACCCGGGGCGTTTCGGTCGTGAATTGACTTTGGCATACACTTCTCTCGAGAACCATATTTGTTCTGTCTGGTCGTTAACATGTATCGGAAATACAATGCGATCTAATAACAATCTTTGAGGCACGTCAGTATTAACTCCTGGCCTCTTCGACTCTCGTCGTTACCCTCTGTTTCCTACCATTTTAATGTTCTCTATCCCTTCCCGGTCCTTTCCCAGTTATGCTATCCTGCCTGTCAAGTTCATATAGGACTCAGTCTTTCAGGACTTTGTCAAATATGTTCTGACAATCATGGAATACGCAGTCCTCC